TATATATATATATATATATATTATTCTTGTACAATACATTTCATACGTCACAAATATTAACTGAACGATTTTTTTTTTTTTAATCATACCACATTATCGTATGATAATACGAAATGATACAAATTGAACATTTAAGCATAACAGTCGCGTAAATCAGTAAATGAAGTCTAAAAATTGTGAATATTTGAAAATCAGAACATTGCAACAATTCTGAAAATTCATTTTGAAGACATCGGAATATTGAACCAAGAATAGGGGCAAATCCAGAAAAATCGGAGCATCTAGTCACTCTAATCAAAATACCCAACCGTACATGAACATTGTTGTGTATTGTCCGACAGAAAAATAAGTTAATCATACGACGACCATTTTTATTGCCGGTACTCAGGACGATAATCTTAGTCAGCGTTGTACTGGAGTAACATGCAACATAACACATATATCATTCTCAGTATCTATAGGGTTTCCTAGTTAAAGATGTCGAATCTGTAGTCCACGGCACGGTCCAACCATCGTAATGATAATTATATCAGTGGATTAGATTATATTTTTTAATATATCAGTTGACCACTAATCCGTAGAAAAAGTTCTCCGTAAAATCCATTAAGTGAAATGTCAATGTCAGATTTTATATGGAACACCCTATAGATACCGAGGACGATATCTTCATGACGTCGTCCGCTACTTGTCACGTTTGTCAGTTGTTAGTTACCGGGGACGATTGCTATAATGACGGCAATTGTGCAACCTTAACTAATTCACCGGAAACAGTTGGGTCACTATCAACTGTATAAGGCATAATTCAATCAACTATACCCAAGATTTATTATTAATATCTTAGAAACTAATAAAGGCACAAAGCTAAAATCTTCCCACCTTCTCTGCCATTCAAAATTCCGTTTCGTTCTGATGATTGAATCATACTAGATCGCGCATTTGTACATACATACTTATTATTAAGTATGTATCTACATTGTATGTGAAGATAAAGAACTATTAATCTTTATAAAATACTTTTTTTTTACAGATTAATTAAGATTTTCGTTCATATTGAATTTGACATATTAAATTATAAGAAAATTATATCAATATAGTTGTTATAATACAATAACATATAATTACATATTCTATAAAAGTTATTTTAATATTAATATCAATATTATTATAGGAGATAAAAATTATGAGTAATATATGAGGTCTATATAATTAAAATAGTAATTATATACATAATTTATAATATAAAATATTATTATAGTTACACGTATATTTTGATCTATTATATTTACATC